GAGATGGGAAATTTTACCATCTTTCTGACTGGATGAGCCAAGATGTACCAGGGCTATATCATGTGCAGGGAGAGACCTTCCAAGCAGTATCCTTCATGATCTAAACACCAATACTAACTCCTCATATATTTCCACTTGCATTGTTTAAAACACACTTTTATCAAAGTGGTACTGATTAGGGTTATGATACTGATTCATGCGAAGAACAGACTTTTTTCACCCAAGAACAACAGTGATTCAAGATGTTCCACCACCAACATCTCAAAGCAGCCAGGTGGAAGGTCACAGTAGACTGAATCATTGCTGCTGATCCAGAAGTTCTGGGTTCAAATCACAATGGCCACAGGAGGTGCCAACATGATACAAGCAGACCAGTTGATTTTTGCCTTGCCATCCTTTCCAAAACCTTAATGGCAGGCAATCAGTCAGAACTGTATGGTTGCTGCAGTGCAATACTGTCCCTGAATTGTAAGGTTCCATAGACAAGCTTTTGCTATGGGCTGTACTCTGTGGCAACTGTCCTCCTTGCACTGAGGGACTGCCAATGATGATTATCAACAAGGAATGAGAGATAAATTCTAGCCTTGCCAGTGTAGCTCATGTCCTGAAAATTTAATGACATTTAGAATATTTATGTGCCACATACAATCCAACAGACAATGCAAAAGGATCCAACACATCATCCTCCGACACTTCCGCCATCTGCAATCCGACCCCACCACCAAAGACATTTTTCCCTCCCCACCCTTATCTGCTTTCCAAAGGGACCACTCTCTCTGTGAGTCACTTGTCCGCTCCACACTCCCCTCCAGCCCCACCACACCTGGCACTTTTCCCTGCAACTGCAGGAAGTGCTACACCTGCCCCTACACCTCCACCCTCACCCCCATCCCAGCCCGAAGAAGACTTTCCACATCAAGCAGATGTTCATCTGCACATCTGCTAGTGTGGTATACTGCATCCGCTGTTCCCGTTGTGGCCTCCTCCACATCGGGGAAACCAAGCGGAGGCTTGGGGACCGCTTTGCAAAACACCTACGCTCGGTTCGCAATAAACAACTGCACCTCCCAGTCGCGAAACATTTCAACTCCCCCTCCCATTCCTCAGACGACATGTCCATCCTGGGCCTCCTGCAGTGCCACGACAGTGCTACCCGAAGGTTGCAGGAGCAGCAACTCGTATTCCGCTTGGGAACCCTGCAGCCCAATGGTATCAAAGTGGATTTCACAAGCTTCAAAATCTCCCCTCCCCCTACTGCATCCCAAAACCAGCCCAGCTCGTCCCTGCCTCCCTAACCTGTCCTTCCTCCCACCTATCCCCTCCTCCCACCTCAACCGCCACCCCCATCTCCTACTTACTAACCTCATCCCGCCCCCTTGACCTGTCCGTCCTCCCTGGACTGACCTATCTCCTCCCTACCTCCCCACCTACACTCACCTTTACTGGCTCTATCCCCGCCTCTCTGACCTGTCTGTCTTCTCTCCACCTATCTTCTCCTCTATCCATCTTCTATCCGCCTCCTCCTCTCTCCCTATTTATTTCAGAACCCCCTTCCCCTCCCCCATTTCTGAAGAAGGGTCTAGGCCCGAAACGTCAGCCTTCCTGCTCCTATGATGCTGCTTGGCCTGCTGTGTTCATCCAGCTCTACGCCTTGTTGTCTCAGATTCTCCAGCATCTGCAGTTCCTACTATCTCTAATGCAAAAGGATAAATCCTTTCCTTAGATTCACACATGCAGTGTAACCACTATCCAATGACAATATTTCATTTCAAATAAAATTGCCAAAGGGAATTCAATTCTGAACAGATTAAATGGGAAGGAAAATATTGTGATTAAGTAATTATCCTCAGGTCGTCCCAGGTATTGATTTCATTAGTTACTGAGAGGTCAGATTCCTTACCATAGGTATGGATCTGAGTGTAGTTCAACTCCATTTTTTAAGCTCCCACACTTCCTGCTTCTCAGTTCTCCTTCTTACCGGGTGCTGTTTGGAGTATACTATTTAAAATTAAGAGTTTCAGTATTCACAATCTCATTACAGTGCTTGGGTGTCTCTAGTTCACCTGTCTGTCCAGACCTGGGCATGTCTGCATTGGAATATTACAAACAGGACAATGGGAAAGGATGTCAGGGCTGGGGGGAGGTGTTAAAAAGCTCCTTTTAAAAGAAATGCACAACGTTCTAAGAGTGACATTGATGCTGGCCCCGCCACACCCCACCCAAAATAGTTTGTATTTTTGGCAGAGTTGACTGCGTGGGTCAGGCTCTTTACAGGGCTATATCTTGTACACGGAAACCTTCTTCACAATCTAAACAGCCATACTAACTTCTCATACCCTTCTCACAAGCTGATGGGACACTCAACATAATTAGAGACATACAGTAGCACAGCACGGGAACAGACCCTTCAGTCCAACTCATCCATGCCGACCAGATATCCTAAATTAATCTAGACCCATTTGGTCCATATCCCTCTAAACCCTTCCCATTCATATACTCATCCAGATGTCTTTTAAATGTTGTAATTGTATCTGCCCCTACCACCTCCTCTGGCATCTCATTCTATACACACTCCACCCTCTGCGTAATATAGTTGCCCCTTAGATCTCTTTTAAATCTTTCCCCCCTCACCTTAAACCTATGCCCCTCTAGTTTTGGATACTCTTACCCTGGGGAAAAGACCTTGGTTATTCACCCTATTCATGCCCCTCATTATTTAATTGGGTATTGCTCATTTGGTTTCAGAAACTGTATTTCCGAGTAAACCACCACCCCCCCACCTGTCATTCAAAACAAATTAATCATAAAAAAAGGGGCAAATATCAAGACAGGCCAAAGGAAGATCACACTACCATACGATAAATGGATGTTCTTGACAAAGCATTACTTCCTGGCTCTTGAGTCAGAGTTTAGATATACACTAAGGACAGACAATTTATGGAGGAGCACCATAAATGGAAACATTTATTCTTGAATAGCAAAGCTATATATTTTTTGGTTCATGATTTTGAACGGTCGCCCCCTTCACGCATTCTTCGGGCAATATTGCTAAAACAATATCAAAGAAAACAGGCAAGGTCACATTTATTTCACATCGATCCTAAAAGAAATTGATAGTCAGGCAAAAATCAAACTATATTTTACATGAATAATGTAGCTAAATCTCACTCCTTTTTTTGCTCTGCCATCAGCACTAATTGAAGGAATGGCCCTCAACCCCCACAAACAATATCAGCTTAACCTGAAACAAAAATCTCCAATAGTCTTCTAGTAAAATGTTCTCAAATAAGATTTCATCTCCCCTCCCAAAATGATGCATTAAATTCAAAGTTTCAAAAGGTGAGAGAGTTTCTGTGAAGCCCTTGCAAAGAAACAAATTGATGGAACATTGCGACAGGAAAAACATTATAAATTTATTGCTGGAGAGTTATTGGTTTTGCTCAAAATTCCTTTGAATTATTAACTCGTTTAAATTATGCAAGTAAAGCAATACAAAGAGGAAATTTACAGATAAAATCAATTAACTTTAATGAAACAACTTGGAATTAAAAACAGACTGCATTAAACACTAGCTGTTGATGCAGTTTTCCCCTCCAGCTTTTTCACCCACAGGGATTCATTCACTCTGCACCAACTAGGAAAAATTACAGCTCCCTTTCAAAAAATGATCACTTTCAGGATTCCAAAAGCTACCAATAAAATCCGAATCAAGACCTTCAACTAAAATAAATAGAGATGATGCAGTGTTACTACTGTGAGTGAAACCTCAGTATAAAATCAGGTGTCAATTCCCTTATGCTGTTTCTCAAACAATAAATAAGACAGTATTTTGCGTCCAGCTCCATCATAAAAAAAATCAAAGCGTCAAGTGGAATTAGTCAGCGCCTCGCCCAGATCTAAGGGAATATTAAAACCATGCTCAGTCAAGGGGAAAAGCAGAGAGCTGGGGGGAAGGGGGAAGGAGGGGGGAGGTGTTGTGGGGGAAGGCTGGTGGAAATGCAGCAGCCCAAACCAGCTCGAACGTTAGGAGTTTGCTCACGCTAACACTTCGCCAGCATTGTGACTGACATGCACCGCATAATGCGCAGTTTCCAATCCCAAACCCTCCAATCCGCCACCAAACCGAACCGCTTTCTGACACCTCTGTCTCAATTCAGCATTTAATTCATTTTTCCCTGCTCTGCAACCATCAGCTCCCCCACCACCACAACACCACCCACTTTTATTTCTCCAGCCTCATCTCTTACTGAGCGGAGCAAAGGTGGGGGAGGCAGAGAGAGAGAGAGAGACCCCTGCTCCCCCCCACCTCCATCAGCGCTGGCACTGCGGGTAAAACAATGCGGTGTCTCCCCGTGTGCCCGGGCTGGGGTTCAGCACCGAGCATCCGCAGTGTTAATCCCCTCGTTAGAGGCGAGTCTTCAGCCATCAGAGGGGCTGTCAAACACACACCAGATGCTCCTACATTTTCCAATCGATCCGCATGCAGCCCCCAGCCGGATACGGTGGGGGTGGGGGTGGGGGCGTGGATGGTAAATGGGATGGTGAATGTGATGGTAAATGGGATGGTGAATATAATGGTAAATGGGATGGTGAATATAATGGTAAATGGGATGGTAAATGGGATGATGAATGTGATGGTGAATGTGATGGTGAATATGATGGTGAATATGATGGTGAATATGATGGTAAATGGGATGGTGAATGGGATGGTGAATATGATGATGAATGTGATGGTGAATATAATGGTGAATGGGATGGTAAATGTGATGGTGAATATGATGGTGAATGGGATGGTAAATGGGATGGTGAATATGATGGTGAATGTGATGGTAAATGGGATGATGAATATGATGGTAAATATGATGGTGAATATAATGGTGAATGGGGTGGTAAATATGATGGTGAATATGATGATAAATGCGATGGTGAATGCACTTGTTCCCCGCAGCATCATTCCCCCCCAACACATCCCTCCCACCCCCCAAACCCCGGTTCCTTACCCCAGCTGCTGGCGGTCCTGCCCATGAACTGCCCGGTGCCCGGGTTGTAGATAAACTGCTTCCATCCTCCTTCTGCCTCCTCGAAATCTTTCTTCGCGTCTTTATCAGCCATGGTGTCACCGAGAAACCGACCGGAGGAGGAGGAGGAGGGTGGGTGGGTGGTGTTTGATAGTTAGTGTGTGTGTGAGAGAGAGAGACCGGCGGCGGGGGGGGTGGGGGGTGAGAAGCAGCCGGCTTCCAGCAGCAAGATCTCCCCGATTGCTGCAGCTCTCCTCACTCTCACTCTCTATCTGTCTCTCTTCTTCCTCTCTCTATGTCTCTCTTCTTCCTCTGTCTGTCTTCCCTCTCTCTATCTATCTATCTACAGTCTGTCTGTTTCTCCACTCTCTTCTTTCTTCCTTCCTATCTCTCTCTCTCTCTCCTCCCGCTGCAGTAAATAATCCGCAGCGCCTACCCCGCGGCTTTAAGGAACGACGAGCATGCGCTTTGCGCAAAGCAGCCAGCGCGCGCCGCCTCTGGGGGCGGGGGCGGAGGAGGAGGGGCGCGCGTGCTCGCGGAAAGAGCGCGCGAGGCGCGGGTGCGAGGCGCGCACCACCGACCCTCCCCCTTCTTCCACCGGTGGAGACCCGGGGTGTGGGGGAGAAGCCGCTGAGTGTGAGGTGCGCGCTCACAGCCAGAGAATGTATCAGTCTGGGAGGATGTTGCAATTCACTGGATACAGTATTCTCCACCGAGCAGATACGGCCGAGATACCGGGCAGATACGGCCAAGATACCGGGCAGATACGGCAGAGATAACTGGCAGATACGGCAGAGATGACAGGCAGACACGGCAGAGATAACGGGCAGATACGGCAGAGTTACCAGGTAGATACGGCGGAGACACTGGGCAGATACAGCAGAGATGACAAGCAGATGCGGCAGAGTTACTGGGCAGATATGGCAGAGATACTGGGCAGATCCAGCAGAGATGACAAGCAGATGCGGCGGACATACTGGGCAGACACGGCAGAGATAACAGGCAGATACAGCGGAGATATGGCAGACATACTGGACAAATACGGTGGAGATGACAGGCAGATGCCAGTGAGATACAGGGCAGATACGGCAGAGATAACAGGCAGATAAAGCCCAGACCTGGGGCAGATACGGCAGAGGCACTGGGCAGATACGGCGGAGATACCGGTCAGGTAATGGCAGAGGTGCAGCTCCAGCAGAATCCTATCCATCAGCCGCTGGCATAAATGGTGAGCACACACTGCAGCTGGCACAGCGCAGAGGTAGAGAGAGAGAAAGAAAGAAATCCGAGAAGGAGAGGGAAAGTTATTAGAGATTTAAACTGAATTTTGTGGGAAGGACCTCCATGTGTTTGTCAACCATCAGTCTAAAGAAAGTTGTTCTTCTCTTTCACTGTTTTAAACTTTAATATTTCCAAAAATACGTCTAAAAAAAATTTAAAAAGCGAAGGAGATTTTTTTTCCAACGGAGTTTGTGTCCGTCAAGTTTCAGAGTGATTTTTGACAAAAAAAATTATGTTAAAGAAGGTGAGTATTTTTTATATGTGGAGCTGGTGGAGAGGCCTAAATGTGAGTTTTGTTGTATCTGGAATTGAAAGCTGAATGTTAGATTATTTAAGGAGTCATTTTTTTCGTGGGGGAACACTTTGGGACTAGTGATCATAATTCTGTTAGTTTTAAAATAACTATGGAAAAGGTTAAGCCTTCCATAAAAATTAAAGTTTTCAACTGGAGTAAGGTAAATTTTAAGGGTATGAAACAAGAGCTTTCAAAAGTTGATTAGAGTGAGGTAAAAGGACGACTGACAAGTGGGAGGCTTTCAACAGTGTGATAGCGAGAGTTCAGAGGCATTATGTTCCTGGTAAAGTGAAAGGCAAGGCTGGTAAGATTTGGGAACAATGGACGAATAAAGATATTGAAGTTCTAGTCAAGAATAAAAAAAGGATTTATACAACTGGGATCAACTGAATCTCTTGAAAAGTATAAAGAGTGTAGGGGCATTCTTAAGAAGGAAATCAGGAAGGCAAAGAAGCGATATGAGTTAGCCTTGGCAGATAAGGTTACATAATGCAACACATGTGGTTGACTCTCAACTGCTTTCTGGGCAATTAGGGGTGGGCAATAAATGCTGCCTAGCCAGCGATGCCCTCATCCTGTGAATGAATAAAGAAAAAAAAATTTGGAAGGTGGTGTCTGAGGATCTTTGGTGAATTTCTGCAGTGCATCTTGTAGATAGTACGCACTGCTGTTACTGAGCGTCAGTGGTGGAGGGAGTGGGATGTTTGTGGATGTGGTGCCAATCAAGTGAGCTGCTTTGTCCTGGATGGTGTCAAGTTTCTTGAGTGTTGTTGGGGCTGCACCCATCCAGGCAAATGGGGAGTATTCCATCACACTCCTGACTTGTGCTACTGCGCATTGGTGATGGAGAGTGTAAATGTTTGTTAATGTGGATGCCACACCTCCAAGAATCCTTGTTTACACATGGCCAAAAGGCGAAGCCACAGTTTGTTAGTTAACATTATTCAAAGTTGTACCTCCTCAGCATTTGTGACAACAGCTTGAATATTGATAGAGGACCACCTCAGCCCAAGGTAATATCTATGTGTGAACTGGTGCAAAAGAAATGGACAACCAGCAGAATTTTAAAAGGGGAAATTTTTATTTTATTCATTCACGGGGTGAGGGCGTCGCTGGCCAGGTAGCATTTATTGCCCATCCCTAATTGCCCAGTTAAGATTCAACCATATTGCTGTGGGTCTGGAGTCACATGTAGGCCAGACCAAGTAAGGATGGCAGTTTCATTCCCTAAAGAACATTAGTGAACCCCCAGATGGGTTTTTCCTGACAATCGGCAATGGATTCATGGTCATCATTAGATTCTAAATTCCCAGATATCTTTTTATTGAATTCAAATTCCACCATCTGCCATGGTTGGGATTTGAACTCAGGTCCTCAGAACATTACCTGGGTCCCTGGATTTACAGTCCAACAATAATACCATTTAGGTATTATTGTCTTCCCAAAGGTACAAAGCCATGATGCAAACAGGAATTTTAAAGAACCTTTGGAAGTCAGGGATGTGGTTAGCAAGGTAGATTGAGTACTGAAAGAATAGCTGTTAATGATGGACCGGAAGGGTAAACAAACCAGGAGTAACTGGCTGTTCGAATGCAGGATGGATATAGGGTGCGCAGCCAGAGGAGAATACAGATTGTGGAAGGAGAGAGAGATGGTCATTATCACCTTATCTTCATTCATTTGTGGAACGTGGTGTTGTGGGCTGATCCAGCATTTGTAGCCTGTCCCTACTTGCCCTTGAGAAGGTGGGGGTGAGCTGCCTTCATGAACCGCTGCAGTCCATGTCCTGTGGGTTGACCCACAATGCCCTTAGGGGGAGAATTCCCGAATTCTGACCCAGCGACAGTGAAGGAACGGCGATATATTTCCAAGTCAGGATGGTGAGTGGCTTGGAAGGGAACTTGCAGGGGAAGGTGTTCCCATGAAAATGCTGGCCCAAATCCTTCTAGATGAAAGTGGTCATGGGTTTGGAAGATGCTGTCTAAGGATCTTTGTCTATTTGGAAAAAGATGATTTTACAACTGATCTATTGTGATTGGGAGCCACTGTAGCTTAGAATGGATGACCATGTAACATACCAGAAGAACCAAGGATCAATGTACTACAGATCAATTGTAGTTTGTGAAGATTAGTGTGTGAGAATAGATGTAGAGGTGCCGGTCTTGGACTGGGGTGGACAAGGTCAGAAGTCACACGACACCAGGTTGTAGTCCAACAGGTTTATTTGAAATCACAAACTTTTGGAGCGCTGCCCCTTCGTCAGGGGAAATCATGAGGATATGGAGTAGTGACTAAGCTGAAATAGGAGAGATGGTGGATATTTTATGGAGTTGACAGAACTTAGTTTTAGTAATACATTTGGTGTGAAGCTAGAATTCAGTTTAGGTTTAAGACTATTTCCAAGGATTAGCTCCACAGGGATTAAATTAGAAGAAGTTCAAGCTTTTATACTGAAAACAACAAATGCTGGAGATCACAGTGGGTCAGACAGCATCCATGGAGAGAGAGCAAGCTAACGTTTTAGGTCTAGATGACACTTCACCAGAGCTTCATCCAGACTTGAAACGTTAGATGGCTCTCTCTCCATGGATGCTGTCTGGCCCTCTGTGATCCCCTGCATTTGTTGTTTTCAGTACTGATTCCAGCATCTGCAGTAATTTGCTCCTACATTTTGTTTAAGCTTTATTAGTTTGTTTGTTGAGAATGGGGGGCTGCAATGTTGATGAATGAACTGACCATTGGGTAGATTGAGTGAGTGGACAAAAAATGTAGCAGATGGAGGAGAATGTGGGGAAATGTGAAGTTGTTGACTTTGTTTGGGAGAATGAAAAGGCAGAGTATTACAAAATGGAAAATGACTGGAGAATTTCAAGGTGTAAAGGGATTTTGATGTTTTCAAGCATGAGTAATAAAAACTGAATGAGCAGGTACAACCAATTCGATTCACTCGACATGATATCAAGAAACAGTTGGAGGCACTGGATACTGCAAAGGCTACGGGCCCTGACAACATTCTGGCAATAGTACTGAAGATTTGTGCTCCAGAATTTGCCACTCCCCTAGCCAAGCTGTTCTAGTACAGTTACAAAACTGGTATCTACCTGACAATGTGGAAAGTTGCCCAAGTATGTCCTATACTCAAAAAGCAGGACAAATCCAACCCAGCCAATTACCGCCCCGTCAACTCTCGATCATCAGTAAAGTGATGGAAGGTGTCACCATTAGTGCTATCAAACAGCACCTGCTCAGCAATAACCTGCTCAGTGACGCCCAGTTTGTGTTCCGCCAGGGCCACTCAGCTCCTGACCTCATTACAGTCCTGGTTCAAACATGGACAAAAGAGCTGAATTCCAGAGGTGAGGTGAGAGTGACAGCTCTTGATATCAAGGCTGCATTCGACCGAGTGTGGCATCAAGAAGCCCTTGCAAAACTGGAATCAATGGGTATCAGGGGGCAAACTCTCCATTGGTTGGAGTCATACCTGACACATAGGAAGATGGTCGTGGTTGTTGGAGGTCAATCATCTCAGCTCCAGGACATCTCGGCAGGAGTTCCTCAGGGTAGTGTCCTAGGCCCAACCATCTTCAACTGCTTCATCAATGACCTTCCCTCCATCATAAGGTCAGAAGTGGGGATGTTCACCGATGATTGCACAATGTTCAGCATCATTGGTAACTCCTCAGATACTGAAGTAGTCCATGTTCACATGCAACAAGATCTGGACAATATCCAGGCTTGGGTTGGCAAGCGGCAAGTGACATTCGTGCCACACAAATGCCAGGCTATGACCATCACCAATAAGAGACAATCTGACCACCGTCCCTTGACATTCAATGGTGTTACCATCACTGAATTCCCCACTATCAACATCCTGGGGTTACCATTGACCAGAAATTCAACTGGACTCACCACATAAACACACAGGCTATGAGAGCAGGCCAGAAGCTGGGAATACTGCGGCAAGTAACTCACCTCCTGAATCCTCAAAGCTTGTCCACCATCTACAAGGCACAAGTCAGGAGTGTGATGGAATACTCCCCACTTGTCTGGATGAGTGCAGCCCCAACAACACTCAAGAAACTTGACACCATCCAGGGCAAAGCAGCCGCTTGATTGGCACCACATCCACAAGCATCCACTCCCTCCACCACCGACGCTCAGTAGCAGCAGTGTGTACTATCTACAAGATGCACTGCAGAAATTCACCAAAGATCCTCAGACAGCACCTTCCAAACCCACGACCACTTCCATCTAGAAGGACAAGGGCAGCAGATACATGGGAACACCACCCTCTCCAAGTCACTCACCATCCTGACTTGGAAATATATCACAGTTCCTTTATGTTGCTGGGTCAAAATGCCTGGAATTCCCTACCTAATAGCATGTGGGTCAACCCACAGCAGGAGGACTGCAGTGGTTCAAGAAGGCAGCTCACCACTACCTTCTCAAGGGCAACTAGGGGTGGGGAAGAAATGCTGGCACAGCCAACGACGCCCACATCCCACAAATGAATAGAATGAAAAAAGCAAGTAATTGAGAAGGCTAAAGGAATGATGTCCTTTATTATGAAAGGAATTGAACATAAAAGTAAGGAGGTTATGTTTCATTTAAACAGGGCATTATTGAGACCACATCACAATAATGTGTAGTTTTAGTCTCCTTATTTAAGGAGGGATGGATATTCAAGGAGGTTTATGAGATTGCTACGTAGAATAAGCGAGTTGTCTTATGAGGAAGGGTTAGAGAGTCTGGGTTTCTTTCCACTGGAATTTAGAACTGTGAGGGATGACTTGATTGAAGTCAGTAAGATTCACAGCTTGGATGTGGAAGTCATGGGCTAATCTTATGAATTTTGACTAAGTTCCTATTTGGTCAGGTTTTTGTTTAGAGGGTTTTGTCTACGAGGCGCAGTGAGATTTCTTGTCATACCTTCCCAAACTCACCTCATTAACTACCAACTCATCCCCAAGATGCCTCCTTGCCCAATCTGAGCTCTACCTTACAGCGTACTGTTCCCAGAGGAACTGGCCACTCAGCAGATATACACCAGTAGACTGGCACCCTGGCAGCAGCACCATCTTCGGAAGGCAATCCCTCACTGGCGATGTATTGGTACGGCCGCCACAAAGCCCCATTGCTGTCGGCACACGGGCTGACCCTCCCTCAAACATGCCGCCTCATTTCTCTCGGCTCTTGTCACGGCTTATGAGCCCAGCGTGACGGTAGCGTTGGAAACAAGTTAGGGTTTACTGGTGGTGTCTCCCATTCACCGCAGATTCATGGAGGGGTGTGGGGTGAGTTTGGGCCCATTATAAGACCCTGCGGCATCAGCAGCGGTCACATCGGTGAGGTGGGCCCGAAGCAGACTCAAGGTGGCAGCAGAATCGAGTTTGGGCCAGTGCGGTAGCTGATGGAGTTGGTGGTGTCTGTATTGGCAAGATCCAATGAGGACTCATAGTAGTGAGGGGATCAGTGGAAGTGAGTTGGCATCAAAGAGTGGTCAGTTTTGTTCCAGTGACAGTGGCCATGGTGAATGGACTCGTGCCTGGCCCTCAGGCCCATAGCCTATGGCGGGCACTTAACAAGAAGGACTGTAAATTGGACAACTTTATTTTTAACTTTTCTGCCTTTATCTTCTATGTTTTGGTTTATTTTTCTGTGTTTTAAGTTGGTGCTGTCAAGTGCACTTTTCAAAATACACATGATGATGAATAAATAAATCAAATCAAATCAAACTAGGCCAGACATTTGTCTTTAGATACATTCTTATCTGAACCCCCTCTCCAGGTTACCCTGTCCCCACTGCCCACTGGACACCCACCTCCTTGTTATTGTCCATGAAGGCAACATCACAGAGAGGCAAACAATCAGTCCAATTCCAAACATGAATTTTTATTTACAGCCTGAAAAGGGACCACAAACAAAATGAGATCAAGCTGCAGTTTGGTCCCAAATGCTTCCCAGATCTTGGCATCATCATCATCAATGACTATTTCACATCCCATTATGGTCTACTGCTCCTAGGCCTCACCCACTGAGGGCAGCTGGATCAGCTCCTGCTTGATTTGTCATGCCTGATGCAGCTGAGCTCTGTCATGGATAAGCATCCACCTCCTCCTCATTGTCCTCATCCACCTCCTCCTCATTGTCCTCATCCACCTCCTCTTCAATGTCCTCATCCACCTCCTCCTCATTGTCCTCATCCACCTCCTCTTCATTGTCCTCATCCACCTCCTCTTCAATGTCCTCATCCACCTCCTCCTCATTGTCCTCATCCACCTCCTCTTCAATGTCCTCATCCACCTCCTCCTCATTATCCTCATCCACCTCCTCCTCATTGTCCTCATCCACCTCCTCCTCTTCATTGTCCTCATCCACCTCCTGCTCCTCATTGTCCTCATCCACCTCCTCTTCATTGTCCTCATCCACCTCCTCCTCTTCATTGTCCTCATCCACCTCCTCTTCATTGTCCTCATCCACCTCCTCCTCATTGTCCTCATCCACCTCCTCCTCTACATTGTCCTCATCTACTTCCTCCTCATTGTTCTCATCCACCTCTTCCTCTTCATTGTCCTCATCTACTTCCTCCTCATTGTTCTCATCCACCTCCTCCTCTTCATTGTCCTCATCTACTTCCTCCTCAATGTCCTCATCCACCTCCTCCTCCTCAATGTCCTCATCCACCTCCTCCTCAATGTCCTCATCCACCACCTCCTCTATGTCCTCATCTACCTCCTCCTCAATGTCCTCATCCACCTCCTCCTCCTCAATGTCCTCATCCACCACCTCCTCCTCAATGTCCTCATCCACCTCCTCCTCTTCATTATCCTCATCTACCTCCTCCTCATTGTTCTCATCCACCTCCTCCTCTTCATTGTCCTCATCTACCTCCTCCTCATTGTTCTCATCCACCTCCTCCTCTTCATTGTCCTCATCTACTTCCTCCTCATTGTTCTCATCCACCTCCTCCTCTTCATTGTCCTCATCTACTTCCTCTTCATTGTCCTCATCCACCTCCTCCTCCTCAATGTCCTCATCCACCACCTCCTCCTCAATGTCCACACCCACCTTCTCCTCAATGTCCTCACCCACCTCCTCCTCAATGTCC